TTCATTGAAGATTGCCCACAAACACTGCACATAAAGCAAAGAATAGAGCATTTCCTGGGAATGTATCAGTGGATGCCATGAATAGGAGCTTGTCAAGATCATTAAATTTTGCTACTGTGTAAATCTATGAGAGTAGCAGCTGCTCAACCATACCTGCCCATCAATATTTGAAGACAATCCATTGTCTGTTTTTCATTATTTGTTTCCTACCTCAGACAAAAAGAAAAGGAATTCAGTTGGTGCTGGTTCTGGAGAAAGATGACTTGAATTATAAATGTCTTCAATTATTTTCCTTGCTTCATGTAGCTTCCTCTTTTCTCCTTCCATGGTCAAAAATCATTTGCTATGAAGTTATAGGAAAATAGTTTCTTCGAAAGCAGAAATGAAGTGAAACTGGGCATGAGTCAATAAACATGTATGAGGCTTTCAAATCATTATAAACAAAAGCCACCTGTGACACATGGCCGTGCTGGTCTCAGACCCCACGGAATCGGTTTACGGAGAGACTGGAAGGAGTAATGGTTTCTCTCCTTTGAAACTGATGGTCTCTGTCATCTTCACTCCAGGGACAGCTTTTCTGTGAACCACCACATATTTGTTGGGGCGAGGAGTTTATACACATGTGTATAAACATGTGTAAAGACACATATAAGCATCTTTTCCCAGCAAATCTGCAGCTGTAATCAAATTTGGAAATAGAACTTAACAGAGTGGCCTTTATGACTCCCTAACTTCAGCCACTGTTCTCTTCTTGGTGCAGTAGAATTATTCAGCACGCCGCTCGGATGCAGAATGGAGAGAGGCTTTGGAGCTGGTCAGGCTCTGTTCAGACGCAGTTGCCTAGGAGCAGAGCTGAGTGACCTCGTAAATTGCTGCTGGAAAATCACTGTCTTGAGCCCTCAGTTTGTTCATTTGTGCATTGTACACACAGGAATCATGTTTTCTATCTTTTAAAATTTAAACAATATTTACAAGTTACTTAGCACACATTGTGCCTGGCACATAGTGTTGAGTTTCCTTTTCATTGGAATCTGAGGATGGGTGAGTGACCGTGCCCAGGCTCAGTGGATTACTCATGATTCCCCAACTGGACAATCTCATTTTCTACTTCTGTGATAGATTTCAGAGCATCCAGTTCTTTCCAATATAAATGGGGAAACCCTTGGGATCCTGGGAGGGATTTTCCACTCTGCAATGACAGAGAGGTGAGAAGAAAAGTTCTGTTTGGTGTAGGACTTTTGAGGTGAGGCCTGGCTCTGCTGCTTGGCGGGCCAGTTGGCTGAAGCGGAACTGTTATGTGGAATCCAAGCTGAAGACAGCAGGTCTGGGGTCGGGCCTGGTCCTGATCTTACTGTGGGGCAAATGTGGGATTTTTTTTGGCCTTTTGTTAATAAACAATAAATATTCTGTGTTTCAGACTCTGTGAGTCATATTTTCTATTATTTGTAACTGAAAGCATCCAAGCCAAAAAGACTATACATAATATGTATTAGTCATTATCTTTTAAAAGAAGTAGGTTGATATTTAATAGAACTTATTTTGTTGTTAATCAAAAATATTTCCCAATGTAATCCCAACTGTAATTATGTAATGTTTCTATAATAATATAATTTTTATAATAATTCTACAATTCTATAACTGACATTTCTATAATTAATGTTTTAAAATTTAAAAAAGGTTTTCTTTTTCAGAGATGACTTCAAAATAAAAATTATTTAATGGTAATTATATTTTAGCTTATTTTTATTTTATTTTAAAGAGATTAAGACAAAAGAGGACATAACAAAGCAGATCACAGCAGAACAATGTAAGTAACACAGTATTTCACCATAAGACAACCAGTAATTAACAGTAACTACGATAATGTCTCTTTCTTTGAAATAGTTGAGCATAGCTTCATATACAATAGTAACAAACAACAAAATAGTATAAAACCATTCAAGAGAATGAAAGTATTACAGGGCATTCAGAACCAAATAACAGAGAACGAACAATGACTACTATATTATCTCATTTTCCATAGAAAATTTGTTTATTACTATCACACATAATAATATCCAATAAGATATAACAGGATAGAACCAAAGGAAACAGAAAAACAAAAGCATAGTAGACTTCAGAGTTAAGATGATACTAAATCAGCTCTGGCTATTCTAATGTCTTGTTTTCTTCAAAAAAGCTGTTCATACTATCACAGATAATAAAATCAAACAAGCCAGGATAAAACCACTCCAACTAATGAATGAAAACATTATAAGGCTTCAAAGTAATGTAATGGGGAATCATGATTACTATAAACTCTTTTGTATTCTTACTATTTCTTACACTAGGGAGACTATACTGTATTTAGACATGTGAGTTTGATTTATTTTGCTTATGAGTATGGTCTCAAGTTGCATCCATTTATTTATAAATATCTCAATGTGATCATTTTCTATAGCTGAGTAGTAGTACTCCACTGCATAAAAATATCACAACATTTTATCCATTCCTCAGGTGATAGACACTTAGGTTGTTTCCAAGATTTAGCTATTACAAATTGTGCTGCTATAAACATGGGCACATATATATCACTGTGGTATGATGTTTTCAATTCTTCCGGGAATATACCTAGAAGTGGAATAGCTGAGTTGAATGGGATCTCCAATCCTAGCTTTTTGAGGAAACTCCAGACTGATCTCCATAGTGGCTGCACCAGTCTACACTCCCACCAACAGTGCAGGAGAGTTCCTTTTTCCCCACAGCCTCTCCAACATTTGTTTTTGGTAGTTTTCTTGATCCTGTCCATTCTTTCAGGAGTGAGATGGAATCTCAGTGTGGTTTAATTTGTATTTCTCTAGTGACCAATGATGATGAAAATTTTTTGATGTATTTATTTGCCATTTGTATTTCTTCATCTGAGAATTGTGTATTCATCTCAGATGCCCATTTTTGGATTGGATCCTTGAATTTTGAGTTTCTGATTTTTAAAAATTCTTTATATGTTTTAGACAGAAGTCCTTTGTCTGAGGGACAGTTCACTAAGATTTTTTCCTAGTTTGTGGGTTTTCTTTTCACTATACTGGAGATTTCTTTTGACATGCAGAAACTTTTTAATAAGACGTGATCCCAGTTATTGATTCTGGGAAGTATTTGCCGTGCGGTTTGATTCCTGTTCATGAATTCTCTACCTACCCCTATGTCTTCAAGGTTTTTATCTAATTTGTATTTCTTCAGATTTAGTGTTTATGTTTTAATATTCAGTCTTTTTTCCATTTAGATTTTAGTTTACTACATGGTAATAGGCATGGGTCTAGTTTTAGTTTTCAGCGTCATTTCAGCCAGTTTTTCCAGCACCATTTATTAAAGAGACTGTCTTTCTTCCAGTGAATGTGTTTGGCCCCTTTATCAAAGATAAGATGACTGAGTGTGTTGGTAGTTGTGGTTGTATCTTCTAATTTATTCCATTGATCTTCAGATATGTTTTTATTTCAATATCATATTGATTTTATTACTGAAGCTTTGTAGTATAACTTCAAGTCAGGGATTGTGATGGCTCCTGCCTTGCCTTGCTGCTTAGAACTAACTGTCTTTGCTATTCTAGGTCTCTTCTGGTTCCAGATGAATTTTAGGAGTGATTCCTCGAGATCTATGACGTATGTTGATGTTATTTTCATTGGGATTGCATTGAATCTGTATAATGGTTTTGGGAGAATGACCATTTTCACTGTATTTATTCTTCCCATTCATGAACAAGGGATGTCTTTCCATTTTCTGAGATCCTCTTCAATTTCTTTTTTATGGGTGTTATAATTTTCCCTGTATAGATCTTTTACTTGTTTTGTGAGACTAATTCCTAAGTATTTCATTTTTTGGAAGCTAGTATGAAGGGTGTTGCTTCTCTTATTTCTCTCTCAGTGATTTTGTTGTTAGTGTATAGAAGTGCTATTGATTTTTGAGTATTGATATTTGTATCCAGGTACATTGCTGAATTTATGTATTAAATCTAGGGGGTCTTGGGATTTTTTTGGGTCTTCTATGTAGAGTATCATGTCATCTGCAAATAATGATAATTTAACTTCCTCTTTTCGTATCTTTACCCCTTTTATTTCTCTCTCTTGTCTAACTGCTCTGGTTAGTATTTCCATTACTATGGCGAATAGGAGTGGTGATAAGGGACATCCTTGTCTTGTGCCTGGTTTTAAGGTAAAGGCTTTCAGTTTTTGGCCATTTAATATGATGCTGGCTGTTGGTTTGTCATAGATGGCTTTTATCTTATTGAGATAAAGACCATTTATTCTAATTTTCTGTAAGGTTCTTATGAATGAGTGTTGGAACTTATCAAAAGCTTTTTTTGCACCTATTAGAAATGATCATGTGATTCTTACTTTTGGCTTTATTGATATGGTGGGTTGCATTTATTGGTTTACATATGTTGAACCATCCCTGCATGCCTGGGAGGAATCCCACTTGGTTGCGGTGTATAATGTTCTTGATGATTTCTTGCATCCTGTTTGCCATGTTGATCTTCAGCGTCCTTCCATTTAGTTGGTGGTTATTTTTGTCTGCTCTAATATAATGCATTCTTTCTTAGGATATCTAATTATCAGGAATTCTTCATTATGAATCCAAAATTCATTTCATATAATTCCTATGTTTTAGTAGATAAAATTATTTTTCCTAATTCTCTGATTCCCATTTTTAATACAAGTGGTATCATTTTTCTAGTTCTGTGTGATGCCTCAAAGCTTTATAAAAGTATTAAAAGCTTGGATACAACTTGGCCACATAGTTTTCTTAAAATTAAAAAACATTCCTCCACACGGAGTAACATACTTTATAATGATCAGGCTTCAAATGTTAGCTCATTGGTTCCATTATAGGCTGTAGTTATTTATATTATTCTTTAAAAACATTTCCATAAATGATCTCAATATAGTAATAACTTCCAATAGTTTTAATAATTAAATGCATATTTTATGACATGAAATATTACAGTACATGTATTCATACTTCTCTGCTGAAACCCAAAATAGTCACAAAATACTTGAAATGACATGTTCTGTTGAAAGAAAATTTTTTTCTGAGGTTTAATGTATGAGGTTTTAAGTCACGGCCTGATGAGATTAGTTTCCCCATAAAAAGCTATCATTTATGTGGCATTTTTATTTTAGAGAAGCTGAAGTAAAACAGTAGAGGTAGCTTCACGTTAGTTCTTGGGTGTAAGCAATACTGCTGATTAGTTATCTGTACTTATAATTGTCTCTTGGTTACAGATGCCACAGACTTGCAAAAGAATATAATGAATGGAAATATTTCAGTAATTCTACTAGTCTCTAGTCACTGAGGGATTATGGTGACCTGACATGCTAGAATAAACCTAGTTGTATAAAATTGCTTACACTGTTTTTAGCTTTTCCTTGTAGTGCAGTAGTTTTTCCTACTTTTTTAAATCTTAGAGTTACGAAAGTCTGCTATAGACAAAACATTATGAAACAAATGCTACTACTGGTATTTTTATTAAAAACTCATGTACAATGGTCATATAATAACAATAATTTTTGCCATAGGCTATCGTGGTGCTCCTAGAAACAGATAAAGTATACATTACATATCATTTTGAATTTAATTGTTTTCTTAAAATTACAAAATAATTTCCAGTAAAGTGCTAGTTTTAATGAAAATTTATGTGACGCTTTAAGGCAACTACAGAGTCCTTTACAGTAAAATGTAAGATAGAAGTATTTTTTAAAAAATGAATCAATAACAAATGCTGGCACAATTGTGGGCAAAAGGAACCCTTTCCCACCATTGGTGGGAGTGCAAACACTGTGGAAATCAATGCACAGATTCCTCAATAAAACTGGAGGTTTTATTTGAGACAACTATTCTCTTCTTGGTATCTTGAAAGAATTAAAAGCATCACACCTCAATGATACATGCACACCCATGTTTATAGCAGCAGAATTTGTAATAGCTAAATCTGTTCTTTTTTTTTTTTAAACAATGGAGCACTAACCAGCCATAAATGGGTAAACTTGAGATAACATTTCTGGGTAAATGAATGCACCTGGTGACCATACTTTTAAGTGAAATAAATTGGAAGCACGTATGTAAATATAGCATAAGGACCAAAATGTATAACAGATACTGTGTAACAGGAAGAAATTGTTCAAATGAGAAAGGGAACTGAGGAGAGAAGAGGAAGGAAGAGAAAGGAAAAAATAAGTAAGAAAAGGAGGAAAAACTGGAAAGAAAAATTTTGTAAATGAGGAAGACAATAGAGATTGAAGGGAAGAGATGGGAATAGGAAAAAAAGAATGAAGATATATCATGCTAGGTACAAATTCCCCAAGATGAATGGGATCATTATGCATATGTACCATATACCAATAAGCTTAACTAATTAAAAAAGGAAAAAAATATTTGCACATTGAGAAGTGAAAAAGCCTGAGTGGCTTCCAAATATATTTTTGTAATCTGATAGATTGAAAGGTATTTCAAATGTTTTCTAGTTAACTACCACACATACACATATGTGTGTATATGATGTCTGATACCACTTTGTAAGGCTAACATCAACAGTTGTTTCCTTCAGAGAAAATGTGGAAAAAGTGTATCAGAAAAATCCATGACTACTATTGTTAGTTAGATTTCTTCATAAAGATTCTTTTATAATTTGGGCTAATCTCTGGAAGCCCTAAAATAGAAAAGAGGTAAGAATTATTCATGAAATTAGAATGCTATTTTAAAAAGTTGATCAAGACTTTAAAAATTCAAATAGAGTGCTCATCTGAGGTTGAGTTAAGGCAAGGAAAAGTTGAGTTGGATGTTATATCAACTAGGCAGAATGTCATGGATTCTCCTAAAATATGGAGATATAGCCACATGAAATTGCCAGGAATTGTTTGGTTCTTTATAATCTTCATGATCAACATTTTGTATTTTATCCAATGCACATTATTTTATATTTTCATGTAATATTACGCCTGAAAATGCATTCTATGTAGTTTTGATTGTCCAATTTTACTTATGAAGAAAACCAAAGAGAACTTATGAGAAGCATTTTTAATCACAACAAAGCAGCTAAACAATGAACACACCAAAATAGAACATCTCCTAAAGTAAGACTAAACTCTACTGAAGGTTAATAGCAGCATTCAATTTATCATCCTGCCTTTTGGATTTTCACATACTTAGTCTGTAGTATTCCTGTTCCTTTGCTGCTTATTATTTTGGTGAAAGGTGGACTGTGAATAAGAACATCAGTGCTTCTGAGTGCAATGGTTAAACTGATCTGCCAACCTGATGGGCGTGGGAGCTGCCCAGAGGATTAATACAGCACACTGCTAGAGTGTCTGGGTGGTCACTGAGGTGGGACCCTGGGGGCTACCTGTGCTCCCTGGCCCCTCCCTCTGTGGTGCTGTCCTTGCCCAATAGGAAGTGAGCACCTTCTTCTACCATGATGTCAGCTGACTACCTGCTGAGTCTTCTGAAACTGAGCAAAAATAGAGCTTTCATTCAGAGAAGGAAGGAAAGAGGTTTCCCCTATAAAATGTTGGCAGTCTCTGGCACTATTCTGTAGAGCTATTCACAAAAGAGTCAAACTTTACTTGGTTCAGTCTCTTTTATCTACAGAAGTCAAATAGTAAAGTAAAAGGGGATACTTTGTGGTAATTCACAATGGTCTAGAAATATCTGGGTTTTTGAAACACAAGAAGACAGTAAGTAATGTTTTAGCTTCGAAGGTAGCACATGCACCCACGCGTGGAACAGAGCCTGGGGCCGCTCTGAAGAGAACACCATACTCACCATGTCCATTTCTTCTGCAGAAACGAGGGAGAAGCACGCTCTGAAGTAAGGACTGGGAGCTGAGCTATCGATGTAGAAAGCCTTCCCTGGAACCAGTAAAACCTGAGAGGTTGTGAAAGGTAAGTGATGCTGCCACTGAAGAATGGTTAAAACATAGACAAACCTAATCTCAGAATGAGAGGAGGGTCCAAGCTCAAAAGCAGTTGAATTCACAAAAGAAAAAACTGGTTTATATAAAAATTGTGTGTCACCCAACAAAGAAGACTAAATGGATAGAAACTAGTAAGGCTATTGCTTCTTTACTTTTAAAGACTGGACAGAAACTGAAAAGAAACAATAAAATGTGAAAGGATAGCTTATTAAAGGAACAGAAATGGAAATAAACACAAATAATTATGTAGTCTAACTGGAAAATTCAATGAGAGGACATTTGCACTTAACAAATTTTACAGTCATTTTTATTTGAAATTTTTAAGATAAGTCAGTTCTGTCTTAGCAAAAAGTAGGGACCAGTATTTTAGGGAGATGTAAAGAGTGTGTGATAGGAAGAAAATCATACATTAAAAGAATGATAGAAGGTACAAAATAATGCATAAAATGAAGGACTAAAAATGAGTATTAGATAAATATGTCAAGACACAACTTATCTAATACTCATTAGAAACAACTGTTCTTCATGATGCTGTCATCGAATCCTTAAGTCCCTCTTTCTCCTGCTCCTCTCTTTCCTCCCTCGTCCTCCCAGTTTTTCTCTCTTCCTCTCTGACAGTTCAGTGCAGGACATCGTCCTTCTAGCTAAGCACACACAGACACTGAGCTACGCACACAGCACTCGTACTCTCTTTTTTTTAGTTATGTGTGGCCACATGAACCAAAGTCATGGACAATGTTGCTAGTCCTGGCCCATAAAAATGTTCCCATGTGTGATCTCTCATGTTTTTCTCATTTTGTAGTCATCTTGGAATCCAGAAGAACCAGAGAATAGATGGAAGGAACCAACATTGGACTGTGAATCAGAGCTGCCTGCAGATCACAGTTGGAATTTTAGGTGAGTCGGAAATTAATTTTCATGTTAGACATCTGTGACTTTGGAGTTAACTGTTTATAGCAATTAGTTTTAGATTGCACAATCACGGTCTCCAAAAATATGAAGTAACTACTTGTTACATGATAAATCTGTGAACTGTCTACTAAAACAAGAGGAGCTGGCAAAGCAATGATTTGGGGCACTTTTTGGAAAAGAGTTTTTGGGCTTTTTAATGTTGACTAAGGAAATATTATGAAAGTCATCATTCTTTGGAATATAATAGTATAGTTTTGTGATGAGCCAGAAATGAAAACCTTAATGGGAGAAAGTGGTAATAATCTCTTTGGAAGGAAACCAAAATTCAGTTTGAAGCAGTTGTAACTATGTTGGAGACCCATTAGGAAAGGTAAAGGAATACTTAACAGGATTATGGAATAAGCAAAGAGGATGAGAACAAACACAGTAGAATACAATTTTTATCCTTAGCACTTACAAATGCAAACAAATAACTACTGCAGAGGGATTTGATGGAAATGGTATTGATAGAGAAGCAAAGAAAATATCAAGTTCAATTCCTACACTGCAATATATTATTTGAAATAAGTCAATATACATTAAATGCCTACTATGTGTAGCTCCTAGGATTAGAACAGTGATAAAGCATAAGTCCTGTTGTCAGGTAGGATAGTCAGAGAAGACAATAACTTGCCATGTAGACTGTCTCTAGATTTAACCTTTAGAGTAGCTAGTCTCTTATGCAACAGTATGATAACCTGGCATTGTCAATCCAATATCGTTTATACTGCTTGTTGCTTCAAGACAACAATGACTCCACAAAGAGTCCCAGGGTTTATTAATGGGAATGTTAAATATAATAATGGGATTAATTGATGCAAAAGGACAATTTTTTTAGGTAAATTAGAAAGCTACACAAAAAACTTCAGTCAAATTTTAAGCTTAATCAATGCCCACAAATGAAATCTAAATAGACTCATGAGTTAAGTGCAGAGGAGGAACAAATGGACAGATAGTCAAGTCTATAAGAGATGATTTTCAGTGTAAAAATCAGGACTATCTGGTGTAATATTTGCTATGTAAAATAATTGCACAACCAAAACACTGTTCTACATAAAATCTGTTCAACATAACTTACTATAAATGATCAGAAACTAGAGTGATGGAATGATGAGCTTTTAAAAAGTTTTTCATTATGCTCTTAAGTATTTTTCCAAACCATGAGCATATTTTGCATTAAGCACAAAAACAAGTTCTTTCCATTACAAATACTTATTGAGCTAATACTAATAGGCTAATACTTAGTAGTACTTATTATGTGCCAGGTATTAGTCTAAGTGGATTACACATATGATTCACATAATCATCATAACAATCCTATAAGGGAGGGATTTTTCTTCTCTCTACAGATAAAGTACAGGGAGGGTAATTTACCCCAAGACATATGTCCAGTAGTGGACAGAGCTGGATTCAAACCCATGGAGCATGGGTCCACAGCAATATCTTAGCCACTATGCTAATCATTGGCTGAGATGGATGACTTTTTCCATTAAGTTAGGACAACTGAGTAATTGTATAATCCTTACACTTACTACTATTTTACTAGGGAGACAGCATATCTAATATTAGGATAGTAATGGTTGGATAGTGAGCAATAGAAAATATCTCTGTATATGAGTAAAAAATTAAACAAAAGTGTAACTTTGCTTTAGATGTCCCCTCCCACCCACCTTCCCAGTTTTACCCCTTTCTTAATGGCCTCTTCTTCAATCAGTTGCTCTGAATCAGAAATGCCTTTAATTTTAATCCATAGAAACAGACCAGCAACAGGTACATGCCATTCTGCCAGACCTATGCACAAAATGGAATATACATCAATACGTTGTTCTGTGACATAAAGCAACGATTACAAACTAGCACTTCCTAAATGTTCCTTCAGTGATAACATTTTTAACAATTTTATGAAACCTGAAAAACTGATTTGTAGGTTTATTTTGAGGAGTCAGTGTGTGGGTCAGAGAGAGGGAGACAGACTAAACAGCTACTGTGTGAACAATTAGAAATATAGTGTCTGTCTTACCAGAGAACAAGGAATATTGTTCCTTTTTCTCCTAAAATTATTAGAACCATACCTAAGCCAAGCTTGGCTGCTTAAGTTTTAAAAGATGATTTTTCAACTTCTCCTGGAGTATTGTGGTGTTTCAATTAATCTTATCATTTATACAATAGTTTAGAAGTTCAGTGTATTAGTTGTTACCAGACTGTAATTAATTATGGAAAGAAATACTTAAAACTTAAGAATTCCATATGCCTTTGTAAGTTTTGTGTTCTGTTTAGTATTAGAATAGAAAAATAAAAAAGGACTATATTCTTTGATATTAATTGCAATTTTTAAAGAAGTTCTCTAGTTACAACTTTTTCTTCATCATTACTATGAAAAATGATGGAACAGTACTCTTATCAAACATAAAAATTCAATTTTACCAACATTTATAGGAGATTAAATGGAACAGATAAGGAACTGACATTTTTGGTATATTACTGTTCATATAATGGGCATTTTAAATGATACTGTTAAAGCCACATAATTCTTCTGACTCTCTTCCACAATGACAGATAATTCTAACACATTCTGAAATCAAATAAGCAATAGCTAATATTAGACAGATAAACACCATCAGTGACCACAATAGAATCAGTTTGTAATGAGAAATCTGCTTCAGATTGAACTCCTGGCTTTCATACAGCTTAGCTAGAAACAGATCATACTATTTGTTTGTGGAAAAGCTTTGAAAGAAATAAAAATTTTGAAGTTGGATTCAATTTAGCTTTAAGTAAGGCATGGCTGCTTGGCTTTGAGATGACTTTGTTTTTCAAGAACCACAAATTTTGCAACAGACAGGTAAAGAAGTGTGCTGGTGTTTGTAGGATGTTACTTGTGAGATGATTTGTAGAGATACATTTTCTGGACAAGAACACCCCAGGATTGGTGTTTTTCACTAGGATTGTATAATCTCCAGTATCTATCAGCCACTCTTATAGGTGTTCTCGTATCTCTTGAGGACAGATGTACATTTCACTCACCACTTAACCACTTCTCTGCAGCTGCCAGCATGGCGTCCCTCTGATTCCTGTAGAAATTAATAATTCTGGAAGAGGAGAACGAAAAAGCTATGTTTAGCATGTTGCACAAATAAATGGGCTCTAAAATCCAAGGTATAAGAATTTGTTTTCTCTCTCAATTATAATGTTGAATGCTTGAGAAGAGGCAAGGGAGTATTTGCTGAGTGATCAGCTTTTACTGTTTTTACCAGTGCATTTGTTCTTTTTTTATGAATTAATGAAAAAATAAAAGTCAATAGAGCCAAAAAGTACATTTCTATTTAAAACATAGAACCTAGAAATCAAAGGATTAATATTTGTTTAGTTGTCTCAAATAATGATTGCCATTTGTAAGGAAGGACAATCCTTAGAGTCACAGACAATGCTGTTGGAATTTTGGATCTGTGATCTGGGAATGAGGGCACCTCCTTTCTCCTTATTTCTACATGGCTTAGGAGGCACCAAACTTACATAACCCAGCACTTGGTAATCTGCACCATTTATTGACTATTTGGGTATATTGTGTTCTTACTCATCAGTACATGAGTTAATTCTTGTGTCATGGGTTGCTCACAGTAAATGAACTATTAAACAGAGTGCTTGTGTGTATGCATTCTAACCTGGAGGGAATTTCAGGTTACTTTGGGGCTGCACTGACACTTCTTTTGGGGCATACCTTGGATTTTCTAGAGGACAAGAAAGCTACTAAAATGAACGGGCTTTTGACCTTTAATAAACTGTTCCTATCATTTAGCTTAAGATATTTAGGAAGGGAGAATACCAAATAAACACTGTATTACTGTGTGCTTGGTTCATGGGGCTCCTATTTTGTTCATAAACATTTTAATAAAAATTTGATACCTGTCTACATGAGCCAGGAAACCTTCTTCTCCCCATTGATGTAAAAGCTCTGATACCATAATCTAAATGAGAGAATAGGAAATCTGTCATGGTTCATTTCCTTGAAGTGTCTATGTTTGAGAAATCACCCCTGACTACCATTATGAAAAGATAAAATATGCTGAAACTAGCTTATATCTGTCAGGAATTTATAACAAGTGTTAATAAGTATCACAACAACAGTAGTAAACATAACAAATATTTCCATGATATACATGATTTACCAGGCACTATGGAAATATATTAGTAAGTTTTGGCTAATCTAATTTTTCCAATAACTTAGTTGTTAAGTAGGTTATTTCTGTTTTGCTGATAAGGAAATCAAGGCAAAAGTGTTAATTTTTTGATGTCCAACAGCTAGTTACAGAGCTCAGATCTGAGGTCAGGTTTTTCAGATCCATATCCAAGATATTTGCAAGAGTATATGTCTCTTTAAACATGAAAGACTATGAAGTATTCTCTCTTCCTCTTCTATCATTCTGGGCAGTGTGAGAACCAAACCCATCGCTTTGGCCTTGCTAAGCAGTTGCTATCCCACTGAGATATATTCTAAGCCTAAAATAGAAATGGTAAATATATAAAGTTCTATATTATATTTGAAGATTTTTCCACTTAACATAGAAGTTTTAAATGGTATAAATTGACACTGAACTGTTGTTGATGACAGATATTAAAAATATGCAAAAAATCCCTAATTTACTAAAAAATGGGAATAGCTACACTTTACAGAATGGACAACATTAAATGTCTTATGAGGTCAATCTTTTAAATTCATTATTAGTTCTTTTATAGACATTCTATTCTTAAGATCCAATTCCAAAGATTGTAATAATTTCCAAATCCAATAATTCCTCAAAGCAAGTGAGAAAATTTATACGTTCTTGGAGGTTAATTTTACTTTAATTCCCAGTTTCCTAAAAATAGGACCTACCTGGAAATACAAGTTATAGCACAGTTTCAGAAGAGGCATCTCTGAAAATGATTCCGATGACATCTTTTGGAGAAAAACGAGCTCAGTTCAGAGGATGTCTCTTCTACAATCGTGCTAGAACTTGTTTCCAAGGTAGGTCTTATTTTCAAGGAAACATGCTTATAACGTGTTGTAACTCCTGTCTGTAGGTGTGGCTGGCACATGTGCAGTTAAGGTCACAGTGAGTCACTAGACAGATTCAGATTTCCTGCTGTCCTTCCAGGGCCCAAGACAATAAAGTCTAAGTTAGTACTGCTTCACCAAATTCAGCTCAGTTCCATAGAGTAACACTCTGGTGTTCTCACAGGGGTGCAGATGAGTATAATACCTCGATACTCAAGGAGTTTGGGTCATACTGCAAAAGAATTAGTGCAACTCATTTGTCTTCCACAGTACATTCTATGAGATCTGGTCTGCATCGGAACTGGAGATCCAGCACTGGTGAGTTTTCTTTTTTGCTACCTTAAAGTAATCTCACCTGTCACCATCAACTTCCTATAGTGATTTGATTTTTTAAAAATATCATTTCATAGATAGGGCTTACCTGGGAGAAAGTGGAGACATGAATTGATGAAACTTGTGTGTGTAAAACAATTCTCTCTATTAATGGTTTTGGGCCAGTTACAAACCCTACTCTCAACCTACACAAAAAGAGAAAAAGGTCAAGTCCAATCCATGTCAACTTATCTCTTAACTGACTTCATTACTAGGTACACTTTGACCTGGGAAAAGTGGGTCTAGAAAAATAAACACTGTAATAAAACCCAGTACTTACTTTAGATACGAATGTAAGAGTACAGTTATAGAATGATGCAGATGGAAGTATTTCCAAATTTGTTCTTTCATAATGACACTAAAAGTCTGACCCGAGGGCTGGGGATTTAGCTCAGCGGCATAAGCACCTGCCTTGAAAGCAGGCAGTCGTGAGTTCGATCCCTGGTACCGATAAAAATGAAAAAAAAGCCAAAAAAAAAAAAAAAAAGTCTGACCCGTGCCAGTAGATTTTTAGTGACCAACTATCTTTGATTACTGAGATTAATAAAGAAAAAGTATCATTAGTGTTAATAATCAATAAGCTGTTTTAAGTTGAAATTCAAGCTTTTTTTATTTTAGCAGTGGGATTCAAACCATGCCTTTGCACTTATGTACATCTCCAACCCTTTATAAATGCTTCATTTTAAAACAGGGTCCCACTCAGTGGCTAAATTGCCCGGGTTGAGCTGCGATTTGTGATTCTCCCACCTCAGCCGGTCAGAGTGCTGGGATACAGGCATGCACCACCCTGCTCAGCTTCATGCTTCTTAAATGAGAACTGTTTGGAATAAAAGATACTGAGGCTAACCTCAGGTTACAGACATGGATCTTACCCAGAGGAGAGGAGTTTTGAAAAGGAATCAGCTCTGATGACACGCCCATCCACATCCATGGAGAGAAATGTTGGTGCCCAGGGCTTAAAATGAGAAGAAAATTATACTGGTTTGTGAATACTGCTAAGGGCTTATTTTGTAGACAGCAGAGAAGGCATGGATTTAGACCACAATAACCCAAGTATCACTTTCTCTGGTTACTCCTTTCCCTGGAGTAAAAACCTGATGTGCATGTTCTTTTACTAGCATCTGCCTGTGTTCATGAATTCCTTGTCAAGTACAAGGCCTCCCTTATTTGCTGAAGACACCACTACTGTGTATTTAGAAAAACCTTGTTGCCTTAGGAATTAAAGTTCGGGAATAACTGATTTAGATAAAGGACTCAAGCAAAGCTAGTTTGGACAGGATCAAAATGAAGAGAGCTAGAAACATTTAGTTGTTGAAAGAATGTGGCTGAAGATGTGCAGAATTTTGTTCAGTCAAACAATACAGAGAAATCAAGAATGTTTGTTTCTTTTTGGTGACTTAAATGGGTGACAGAATCCAATTACATGTTCTCTGGGAGCAAAAAAAGTGTTAGATTTTGATGAACTAGTCATTGGTAGTCTGCACTGCCTCTTCTTTCCAGTAATCATGACAGGTAGAACATGCACAAAGTAAGGGTGAACCTAAAAGTCCATGATCCTTAGATAAGATCGAGGCATGAAGGACACGGCTGGTGTGTGCATGGCATGCTGTGGGTAAAGCTTTCGTCTGTGTCCACAAATGAACAGCATTAACTGGTCACAGCTCTACTTCAGCCTGAGCACAGCTTCTCAATCCTTCTTAGACAGCATGGTCAGCCATCAAAACAATCTTGAAGTGGACACTCATGGTAAAACCTGCTTCAATATCCCACAGATGATGTTAAAGGAGCTGTGAGCTAGGATATTCAGTTCAAATCCATTATCCTGACTTATTCTGTTTGCCTAAACTCATGATTCAGGGATTAACTACTATTCTGAAATTAAATGATTTATAGCAAGAACCGTTCGTACCAAATATTAAAAGCACTAAATCCTTGAGAATACTGGAGGACTAAAAAATTAAAGTGGTACTAAGTTGATAATAGTTCACTTAATTTCAGGGTAATCATAGATTATGGGCTCACCAGTCTGGTTCACCAGTATGACTAATTTGAAATACAGTGTAGTAACTTACAATACCTCATCTCTTAATAGTGCAATAAATTCATATCATCACTCACCTTATTGAACTGGAGAAAGTAGTAAGGATCATCTTCTATTATGAGGAAATCATATTTGCTTGCAAGCTAAAAAGGCAAAATAATGTATTTGATAACTGTTATTTAAAATTGAAATCACTTGCCATCGTAATTCTTTGTACTCCTTTTTTCATCATTCAGACAAGGAGGAGGAAGATGAGGGGGACACTAAGGACTTCCATTCTCATGGACTTACATCCTATAGGAAAAAGATAGAATGTGCACGAGCCCTTGGATATGAACTGACAAACATTCTATGGGGCAGGATTTAACGTCTAGCCAGAGCATCACACAAGACCACATTCCTAGAAAGAATGTCAGGGTGTTTATTTAGGTGGAAGCACTCAGGAGCCCTTCCTGACAAGGTAATGCTGTACAGCACAGGATGAGAGGAATAAGTTGTGTAAGTATCATGGAAAAAGATTCTAGACTAAAGGATGAGTGAGAGTAAAGATTCTCAGGGTGGGCAAAACACTTGGCTTGTTTAAGGACCAGACAGGCAATGTGGCATGCAGTGAGTGGTCCACAGCACGGATGATGAGAGAGAAGTCCTCAGGACAGAAAGGACTGTACCTCACAGACTGTGAAGGTAGACAGAGAATCTGGACCTTCACAGCAAGGGGAAGTCAGGCAGAACTGTGAACAGAACTCTGATCCTGAATTTTTAATTTACCATGTGGTGAAAACCAGATCTGTTGCTCATGCAAATAATGAGGTGTTGGAGATCAAAAGTGGAACACAGCCAAGGTGAGTGACCAGGTCATCCATCTAGTAAGGGCAGGTGGTGACTTAGAAGAGGCGGCTATAAATGGTAGTGGAGAAAAAAGACTGGATTTGGATAATCCTGGTGGTGGAGTAGGGAAGGGAGAGCAGGGAAAGTGAGAAATGAAGAGTGACTGCTTCTGCAGTTTAAGGTCATTCATAGAGATGGAGTGCGCAGAGGGGTTTGCGTTCGGTTTTGGGGAGTCTGAGGAAACAAGGCATTCCGTTTGGCCAGTCTGAGTTTGAAGTGCTATTAGCCATTCACATGACATCAAGTATAAAGTTGGACTTAAGACTGGAGTGCAGGGAAGGGGCAGTGCTGGACAATGAGGGTTTTTTGTCTGCAGAATGGGAAATTTCCAGAGAACTGCATGAGGCTGTCTCACGGAGTCTGTAAATCAAGCAGAGAGATGAGGAAAGCACCCAAGGGAGTGTAAACAATATAGTACAGAAAGATTTTGAACTTAATTCAAAGTAAAAGGAACTGGCTGACAGCTAAATTTCTGCTTATGTTTTCACAGCACAGGATTGAATTTTATATAGCTTATCATGTATTTCTTTTTTTAAAATTTTATTTAAGGAGAAAGAGGAAAAAAAAGCAGAAAAGGGGTACAAGTTATACAGAATTTCAGAAAAAAAAATAAACAGTAGGCAATCACTAGTTAATGGATTACATATTGTCATCTTAGAAATATTTGTTCGTTACAAAATTAAAGCATATAAAGTGGACATTCAAACTGTAAGACTGCAAACAGTTCTGTTCAATGATCCAACAAAACTCAGTAATATCATTGTCTATCTTATACACTTAAATATACATGCAGTTATACCGTTTAGAGCACTTTCTTTTCTTCTTTTTGTACAATGACTATTACTCTTTTTGGGTTTTATTGCTCCCACAGTTCTTAATACTATTTTTGGAAGAGAGTAAAACCAAATGTGACTTAACAGAACAGAGTCGGTTAAATCAAAAGGGTGGACATGATAGATAATGTAAAAAATAATACAAGGTGATCAACAATGGTTACCATAATGCCTCCCGCTATCTCAAATAGAATTGCCTATATCATCAGTTATAATAAAATTGAACAAATAGTACAGAATGAAATAAAAAAGTAAATAATAAAATGGAGATTGAGATAAAAGAGGGCATAACAACAAAGCAGTGCAGATCAAAACATAACCATTTAAGCAAAATAGTGTTTCACCACAAGGTAATCCCGACATAAAAGTAGTTACCATATTGTCTCTTTCCTTGAAATCTTTGAGTATAACTTCATATACTATAGCATCAAAGATATCAAAACAATGTGAAACCATTCAAGAGGATGACAGTATTACAGGGTATTTAGAATCAACTAACAGATAATACACAATGGTTTCTGTATAATCTCCTTGTCTATAAAATTTTTTGTTTATATTATCCCACATAATAAAATCCAATAAGATACAACATGTTAAGACCTATGGAAACAGAAGAACAAAAGCTTGATGGGACTTCAAAACAAGATGATACCAAATCAGCACTACCTATTATGACGTTGTTTTCTCCAAAATAGCTGTTCCTATCATCCAATCTTCTCTGCCTCATTTCTGTTGAGCTCTTTTCCTGTCATTAATTGTCAGTTTGTCTTCTTCATTTTGTTTTCTGCTCCATTAATTGTGGCTTCTCTGCCACTATTTCTGGATTCTTTGTATTTTTCTTTTTTTTAGAATATCCTGCAATACTCTCTGTAGAGTTGAATTGGTGGTTGCAAATTCCCCCAGTTCCTCTTTATCCTGGAAGCACCTTGTTTTTCCATCAATTTCCAGGAATAGTTGTGCAGGATATATCAATCTTGGCTGGAGGTTACTATCTTTCAAAGCTTGAATTATTTTCCCCCACGCTCTTTGTGATTTGATGGTTTGTGCTGAAAAGTCTGCTGTAATTCTGATGGGTGTTCCCTTGTAAGTGATCTGTTTCTTGTCTCTGACAGCTTTTAATATTCTGTTCTTATATTGGATTTCTGGTATTTTGATTATTATATGCCTGGGTGTAGCTCTGTTTGGGTTGTAGGTGGCTGGGGTCCTGTATGCTTCACACATCTGAGTATCTTTACCTTTTGCTAAATAAGGAAAATTCTCCTGGATTATTTCTGTGAATAGCTTTTGTAGTTCATTTGTTTGTGTCCCTACCTCTTCTTTCATGTTCTTAATTCTTAAGTTATAGATCCTCTTAAAGGTACATCATACTGAAAAAAAAAGTTATAGATCCTCTTTTCATCTTCTAGCCTTTGTATTGTTGCTGTTTGTTTCTTTGTTACTTTAAAGAAGTTTTTCATTTCATGCTCCCATATTACAAATCTGCCCTCCAGTTCAGATAATCTATCCTTAGTTTCTTTCAAGCTGTTATGCCAATTTTCGATAGAGTTTTTAGTTTCCTGGTAATCTCTTTGAACCTGCTTCATGTATTCTATGTTTTCTCTATTTTCTCCATCAAACAATTCTCCCCTCTTTTTCTGTTCTTCCATTCTACCATCTGCTTTTTCTTGGGTGGTGCTTAGTATTTCTCTAACTATTCTGCTTATGTCTTGCTTCAGGTCATTAATAATTTCATTCCTGAACTCGTCTATGAGGCTTTGGAGATAGCACTTTATGTCTATTGGTGCCGTGTCTGCTATTGCCTGTTTCTCAGGATTTCTCAGGATTGGGGGCTGAGCAGCCTTTCTTGTTGCTCCCTTTTCCCATATTCTTTGTTCCTTATATATGCAAGCATATATAGGGGGCCCAGCTTCCTTCCCTGTCGGCTACAGTATGATTGAATTGCGCCAGCCAAGTGTTCCTGCCCACCGCAGCATACCAGGGAGTTACAGACCGGGCAGCCTATGCAGGGCCCATCCCTCCAGGTCAACCTACCTAAGGCTTCACCACTAGGGTGCACCTCCAGACACTGGGACCTGGACCGTGCTAGCCTACTGGGTCTCAGCCAGCAGCGTCACGTAGGCTAGGCACTGCTCACCAATCCTGCTTGAGAGGAGGATATGTGACTGAAGTCACTATAGCGCCCTGTTCCCGCAAGTCTGCCCGGTCACAGAATGCCCTTTGTTGGAGCCTCTTAGACCGTGGAAGAGTCCCAGTTTCCCTCACTCACCGCAGGTCGATGCACGGCTCCCCGCCTGTCTGGCTCTCAACTCTGTTCACCGATTCCCGTTCTCACAGCTTTCACGTGTCTCTCTCCCTGTGGAGCCGATTCAGACATAGCAGTGGCGGCAGGAAACCCAAATCGCGGCTTCCAATGGCGCGGGCTCCAGTTTCCACGCTGAGGCTTTATCTGTTCCTTAAATACTTTTGTGCCAGGAATTTCAGTGATTGGTTCTTCTGAGTAAGTAAGATTCTGCTCCATAAAAAATTCCCGTATTCCAAGTTCACTGATTTCAACACCAACTACACTGTGTCCTAACCATTTCATCTCCACTGCTTTTCCACAAAGAGGAAAAAACACTCTCAGTCCACTCTCCCCTTTAAGAAAAGTATCCAAATACTTCTTTAATAGCCTCACTATCAGGGTGCTCTTTAGTATCAAGTGAAGTTCTTGTATCATCCATAGTTCTGCAGGTTCCACTGTTTTGCAGGCAGGTAACTCCAATATCTCATCAGGCGCCCGCAGTTAGTTTGCGGTCACCTCACTGCTGCTCCTTTATCATGTATTTCTTATTTTAAAAATGTATCTGTAGTAAAAGTGTAGGGAGCATAGTTCCGGTATAGAAAAAAAGACTTTGTAAAAGGCATATTTCTCTTTATGAAGATTTTTGTATAGCTCAGTGTACAACTGATACTTTGAGAAAAGATTTAAAATGAAAAGCCAGACTTTCTACATACCTAATTAGTGATTTCTGAGATGAAGAACACAACTCTTTGAAAGAATTATTTGAAAGAATTTCAAGAATTCTTTGAAATGTGAAATGAAAAGAATAAGAAGCAGAAGAGACAAATGAAAAACACACATATAATCAAAATCAAACTTGAGTTGAAATATTAATAATTTCATAAAGTTTAACATCATAGCAAGAATGCTATTTCTTTTGTAGTAAAATACCACTTAAGGGAAAAGAAAATCTCAGAAACAAAATAGTATTACTACATAGAAATTTATTAGTGTCCTTAGCAGAGATGAGATTATTTTCTTAAAAATTATCTTTCTTGAAAGCAAGAAGGTAATAAGAAAGGGACTTGATCGGACTCATCTAAAATGACAAAAGGAGACGTAAAAACACCCCCAGGTAACACTCTTTGAAATACCTTGTATATCTCCTTCTTGCGGTCACCTGTCAGTGAGTTTCCAGCGGGGTTGTTGCCATTGGGGATAGTGTAGAGAAATTTGGGGGTGTTTTTGGTAGGGTCCTTGGAATCTTCTGGTTCCCATTTGGAAAGGATTTCTTTGAGGGCATCGGGAATCATCCCAAACTCATCACTGGGGACATTAATAATGTTGCAGCCCAGGGGGAGCAGCTGAGGAGCACCAAAAAGCAAAACAACAACAACAATAACAACAACAAAAAGTTCAGGAGTCACACAGTGATACAAAGCATAAGTGCAATTTAAGGAAATATTAACTAGCAATGTTACTATTTATATCATCAAAGTTATCTGCCTGTGAAACAGTGGAACCTGCCCTGAGCTCCAAGCTTCAGTAGTTGACATTGTCTTTTTTTCCCTGGGGTACATTCAATGGGTGTGATTATAGTTTTTTTTTTTTAATCAGGAATTGAACCCAAGGTCTTGGTACTGAGCTGCATCCCCACCTCCTTTTCCCTTTTTATCTTTCAGTTTTCCACAGGGTATCACTAAGGAGCCCAAATAGGATTTAAATTTGGTATCCTTATGACTCAGCCTCCCAGAGTGCTGGGTTTGCAAGTACCATAGCCATGCCTGGGTATGGATTATATTCTCTTGATCCATTTATGTCTGGTTTGGCCATAGGGACATTTATTCTTTCAAAAAGCTTTAAAAATCCAGCAGGAGTTTTCTAAGTTTGTTTCTCCTTTGCTTTGAGATTGGCCATGTTCTGTACAGAGGCTGCTTCTGTCACCTTGGGGCTTAGAATGTAGATGCCCAGAACTGAGCAGCAGTGTTTTTGTGAGATAAAGTGATACTGGTGTAAGCCACTGAGATATGACAGTCCTGCATCACACAGTGTCCGGCAGCCTCTTTTAACTGAGCTATTCCCATAGTTAGAACTGGAGGTAACTTTGGGGACCTGAAGCCATGGGCAATGCTTCACCTTCTGAACAGGCAGGTGGGTGAGGCTGATGGTTAGCAAGTTTTTCTAAGTTGTAATTACTTCTCCGTCCCACATTTCTACCAACCCAAGGACATGAAACAATGAATTTAATTTTTCTGTTACATGCTACAGTTAGATTTTAAAAGAGGAAAATGTATGAAGCAGAGGTTACATTTAACACATACTGCATATATCATTTTTAAAATGCTCTCCTTTCTAGATGAAAGCTGCTTTTTTATTATTCAGTGGCCAGATATCTCTAAAGTGTGGGTTTTTAAAAATTTATTATAAGAAGGTTGGTATTTCCCCATAATGTGTACTTACAGCGTGGAGTGTTCCTGGATAAACTGGTTCATTTAGGAGGACATTATCTCCAGGATTAATTATCATTTCAAATGCCTAGCAAAAGAAACATACTTTAGCTTGCATAGTATGGTTTCATTCTTAGAACCCCATTATTTAGTTTGAACTCACATGACCCTAGAGTATGTGCTGGCGAAGTTTTGGTAGAGAACCCAACTGTAACCATTTAAGGGTTATAGCATCTTTGCTTGCTATCACCCATCTCTGCTTCTAGAGTGAGACACTATCATAGCCAACATAAAAGTTAATGGAAGAAGCTGAGTTCCGATAAAACTTTGTGCACAAATCTAGGTGGGAATCTGAATGAGACTCTTTAAGTATCAACCTCTGTTCTCAGAAGAGGTATAAAAGAAGATGACTGTCTTGGATCCTAAAATTCACTTATTCATCTAGTTTAATTTTTGAAAATGTGTTAAATTTCATGCCACTGTGGGGTACTGGAGCTCAAAGATGGAGAAAATTAAATTATTCTTATTCCCATGGAGTTACAAATCCTCTGGGAAAGCTAGAAGAACTCAATAGTTGCCCAATGAGATATTTAAGTAAAAATAGTGGTGAGCACAATGTCACGTTCAGCCCACTGCAGCACCTGGGAATTCATATAAGGCTTTTTTTGTTTTTTGTTTTTGTTTTTTTTGGCTTTCTCCTTTTTATCGGTACCGGGGATCAAACTCACGACTGCCTGCTTGCAAGGCAGGCGCTAATGCCACTGAGCTAAATCCCCAGCCTCATATAAGGCTTTTGAATGGTGATGAGTTGGTGTTGTGGTGACAATAGGGACACTTTCAGAAACTAAAGGAATTCTGAGAATTGAGGAGTGTGAAGAGAAGGCCAGAGAAAAATCAGGGCAGAATGAGCAGAGACCAGACCATATAGGCATTCAAGTGAAGGGTGGTATTATGGTTTAAATAGAGAATGTCAGAAGGTGATGGATCACTGGGTACTGCACTGCACAGTAGAATCCTCCATTAGTGTGTTTTCTGGCTAAGTGTGCTGATAAGTAGGTGGAATCAGAATAGAAGAGGCGGGTCACTGGGAGCATGAGCTGGAAGGATATATCTTCCTGCCTGGCTCTTGCCTTTTCCATTTCCTGGCTGCCTTGACATAAACACCTTTCTTCTGCCAGACCCTTCTCCCATGCCATTTCTGCTTTACAGCCTGCTAACCATGGCCTCAAACTGTAGGAGCCAAAATCAGCTCCTCCTCTTTTATCCTGTGGCTGTCAGGTATCGAGTTCTATTGATGACAAAGTGACTCAGATTGAAGGCAAAAGAATTTTAAGAAAGGAAATAAGGAGGAGTCACACAATCATATACATTTTGGAAAAATTCTGCTTGTTGAAATATGTATGAGCAAAGGCAGGGAGAAAATATGTGAAAAATACTTGGAAAGTCTGTAGGTAGTTTTGGAAATTAATCCTGTAGTCCTGGATACAGATAAATATAGTTGAACAGGTTGTGGAATTGTAGAGAACTGATAGGTAGCTAGGAAATGAAATCATGCAGCTCCCTTCCAGAAAGGTAGTGGAACAGTAAACAGCAGTAAATCAGCCTGTCTGAGATTCAGAATCCAGCTACTGGATTATAACAATTTAGGGAAGAAGGAGTGAATTAGATCCCTGGGATCCAGGATGGAGCTAAAGGGAAAATCTGAGTCTGTAGAGCAAGTGAGGAGACAGAGTTCATCCAGAAAAAGGAGGAGACAAAGCCAAGTATGGTGGTGCACATCTGTAAATCCAGCATGTGGAAGGCTGAGGTAGGAGAATAGCAAGTTTGAGGTCAGCCTGGAGGGAGTCCAGGCCTAAAGTACATAGTGAGACTCTGTCCAAAAATAAAAAAGAGTGAAAGAAAGGAAAGAAAAAAGGAAAGGAAAGGAAAGGAATGGAAGGGAAGGGAAGGAAAGGAGTGGACTTCTGGCTCTTGGTGTGAGAGAGGAGTCTCAAATCCCAGAGACAATGAGGGCAAGAGACTCCAGAGGGGTTCACAGAGAGAGGAACCAGTGGAATTGAGCAGTGGATGCTGTGAACTACAATAGCTTATGAATTTTCTCAGTCCAGGCATCCTCTGGAGAGGGAGCTTGGTCAAATGTCATTTTAGAAGGGAACCAAATGAACCCAGGACTCAGAGCACCTGTGAGTTGGCTGTTTCTCAGGACTCCCAAGGACTGAGTGAGGCTCAACCACAGGAGACATCCAGGGTCAAGGAGCTAAGTCAAGCAGGCAAGAGACACCCAAAGTGTTGTACGCTGAACAGCTCTGGCCTCAACTCCTCAACCAAAAGCTGGGATTAATGTGAACTTCTGTGGAGCTGAAAGGACCAGGATTGGAACCCTTCCTTTTTCCTATTGCAGGCTTCCTGGGATCATCCAACACAGATCTGGGGTCTCTTTGCCTCTACTGGTGACAGAGGAGACATGTCCTGAACTAGTCCCTATCATAAAAAACTCCAGAACATAACCATAGGGTGAAATCACAGAGAAATCTTTTACTTTCCTTTATTCTCTCTTTTATTTTGTTTTTTTCCACCTCTTTTCTTATTTTCTTTTCATGATTATAAAAATTGTTTTTAGGGTTTTTTTCTGTGTCTTGAGTTGTTGTTTTTGTTTTTACCTTTCTTTCCAAAGCTTGAAAAATCACGTTCTCTGCTTTTATTTCTGTTTTTTTCTATTATCCCCCTTAAACTTTCTACCTTGCAAAAGTCTTCGTAAGAATTGAATGCAGCAAGTCATTAAGAATATTATACACAATTATCAAATAAGATTTGCAGGGATGCAGAGTTGGTTTGACAAGTACATATTGATAAATGTATATACCATGTTGACAGGACCAAGGACAAATTCACATGATCATCTCAACAGTTATGAAAAAAGCATTTGACAAAGTCCAACATTCATTAATCAAAAAATCCTATAAAAGTTGGAAATCTCAATCTGATAATAGCCATCTATGCTAACCAACATTCAACTTTATACTAAATGATCAAAAACTGGAAGGTTTCAGTCTAAAATCATGAAAAAGACAAAGATGCACACTGTCATCCTGTTCAGTATAGTTCTGGAAACATTAACTGGAGATAAAAGAAAGAAATAAGTGGAATAAGGATAGGAATGTAAAAAGTTAAATTATCACCATTTGTGGATACCATGATATGCTATATGGAAGACCCCAAAACTCCACCAAAAGTCTTCTATAAAATAATCAAATTCAGTAGCATGTCTGGGTACACAGTCAACACTCAAAAATCAATAGCATTTCTTTGCAAAAATAATAACACCTTTCAAAATACCATCAAGAAAAATGGAATACTTCAGGAATCAATCTAATGAAAGAAGTAAAAAATCCTTACACTGACAATGGTATACTTTGTAAAGGAGATCCAAGAGAATATCAGGAAATGGAAGGGTATATTTGTGCTTGGATAGGCAGAACTAATATAGTGAAAATGGCCATACTTCTAAAACTATTATACAGATTTAATGCAATTCCTATCAAAGTACCAATAATATACATCACATGATTAAGAAAACAATCCTAAAAATCATTTGGAACTGGAAGAGATCTTATAGTAGCACAAGAAAGGCAAGGCAGGGGACATCACAATCCCATCTTGAAATGATACTACAAAGCTACCATGATAAAAACAGTTTGGTAATGGCAAAAACAAACAAACAAACAAACAAACCCAAAAAACAAAAACCAAAAAAAGATCTGAGGATGAATGGGTGCAGCACAACTCCAAATACACTCAGTCACTTTATCTTTGACAAAGTAGACAAAAACCTTCCCTAGAAGAAAGACTCTTTAATAAATGGTGCTGCAAAAACTGGCTTAGACCCATCTGTCTTATCATGTACTAAGCTAAAATTGGAATGGGTCAAAGATCTAAATATCAAAAATGAAATACTTCATGTAGGAGACAAACTAGGTAAAAGTTTAAACACATAGCTATAGGCAAAGACTTTTTGAAAAATATCCCAGTTGCATAGGAAATATTACAAAGAATCAAAAACTTGGATCTCATATTTAAAAAATTGTAAAATGTAAAAGCAAAGTAAATGACCAACAAAGTGAAGAGACAACCAACATCCTGGGAAAAAACTTGAGGGGCTGGGGTGGGAACTAATATCTAAAATATATAAAGAACTCAAAAAACTCAGACATCCCCATTTTAGACCCAATCTAAAAATGAGTATCTGAAATGAACAGATTCTTCTCAAGTGAAGAATTATGAACAGCAAATAAACACCTGAAAAAAAATGTTCAAAATTACTAGTCATGTAAGAGATGCAATTTAAAACAACACTGAGATTCCACTTCCAGGAAGAATGGTTTCGTCAAGACATTAACCCGTGATAAATGGTGGGAGGATGGGGGAAGATGGAGCCCTTCTTCACTGTCGTTGGAAATGCAAATTGATATAACCATTAGGGAAATCAATATGGAGATTCCTCAAAAAACTAAAATGAAAGGTTCCATTTGACCCAGCTATTTTCCTTCTTGGAATCTTCCTGAAAGAATTAAAAGCATCATACCTCAGCAATATATTTACACTCATGTTTATAGTGGCACAGTTTGTCATAGCTAAATCTTGGGATCAGCCAGAACGTCCATCAACCAGTGAATGACTAGGGAAGATGTGTTTTTAAAAAAAAAAAAAAATATATATATATATATATATATATACAATGGAATACTACTAGTCATTAAGAAGGATAAATGAGATTATTTCTAGGTAAATGGTTGCACTTTGAGAGCATACACTTAAGTGAAATAAACTGGATAAACATGTAAATACCACATTGTTTTTCTGGTATGACATTGTAAATAAGGACCAAAATGTATAATAAATATTGCGAAATAGGAAAAAACGTTCAAATGGAAAGGAGAACTAAGTTGGGGGGCAGGGGAAGAGAAGGAAAGGAAGGAAGGGGAAAAATGAGAAGAGGAAAACTAGAAGCAAATCTTTTGTAAGTAAGGAGAGGAAGAGGGTGAAGGGAGGTAGGGGAATGAATGGGAAAAAAGAATGAAGATAAATTGTGTACAGGTACAAACTCCCTATGATGAATGTGATAATTATGTATTTTATAAGTACACCAATAAAATTAATTAAATGAAAACCAACAGGACATGATGATGGACTGCAGTGAGGTGAGGAAGTGCTGTCAAGAAGCACTCCTAAACATCTGGCTATCAAAGTAGGTAGATGGCGAAGGCGGTGCCATTTGCTGAAGCACAGAAAAAGTCACCCACATCAGAGTGATGTTTCATCATCCTGACTCCAAGTCCTTCTTTCTGTCATTTTAACAATCTATATTTCAAAGTTAAAAATAAGACAATTTTTAATTGAGATAGAAGTTTTGACTCTTGTTCTCTCACTTGGCCTGTGATATTCAATATATCTTTCTCTTGGGGAGTTTTTGACATTTTATGAAAAATAGCATGTTTCTCCAAAAAAGTTTCCAATTGACTCAGGTTTGCAAGACGTATTGCAACTAAAGAAATCATTTGGGTGGCATGAACACTGCCAACTGGTCAAATTCCTGATTATGTGCATTTCCATGTAGGGAACATACAAACATCAAATGCTCTAAATTAGAGCAGAGAGAGCAGTTTTTCATCAAAAAGATACAGTCAAACATACAAACCTAAAATGACATCTGTTTTGAAGAATAAAGTGGAGGAAATGATCAAACAGATTCCTGCTAAGGCCTTTATAATCAGCACATTTATGGTAATGTGTTATTGATTTATTTGACAATTGATGCTATGTAGCTTCTTTGATATGACTGGTGTAGTAACTGAGAAAGAAACAACTTTGTCTTTGACAAAATAAATGTCTTTGGCATTTTTCCCGTGCAGGGAAATATTCAAAGAATCTTGTCTTAAGAAAATAATTTTATTGAACAAGACTTTTAAAATATTAGTCCATGATATCACAAATACTTCAAGCAAACACATGAGGGTAGCTAATCCTTTTATTTTTCCTAATTAAATTTGAAAATCATGAAGAAAAATTGTTTTAAATTTATAAAAGTGTTTACAAGATATTTTTATTACAATTCATTATTCTATAGTAATTAAAGTTCAATAAAGTAAATTTGATACTTTTCATAAAATAGAAAAGAAGAAAAAGGCCCCTCTCCTGTGCCCAGACGACCTCAGCAGCTAAGGGGAGCCTGGGTCACTCCTCCCATTCCCCACAACTACCTTAGCAACTCACAGGGGCATCAGTGACCTTTCTAACTTCTGTGGTACTTGGGTGGGCAGGTGGAAGCTTTGGCCAGCCCTTCCTCCACCCAGAGAACCTCTCTCAGAGGTTGGCAAGAGTGTAGTGAGTCTCCCCAGTAGAGGATCTCAGTGGGTCAACAGGAGCCTCACCAAAGCCTCCCTGCACAGGGAAGACCTTGACAAGCCAGCAAGAGCACTGTTGAGTCCTTCTCCTATGTGGGGAACCCTGTGTGGACTGGTGAGAGTGCTGGTGAGGCCTCTCCTCGCCCAGAGAAACCATACTGAGCCTATGAGATCTCTAGTGACACAGTACAGTCCCGGCTGAGGTGCACACTATAGACAGGTGGGTCTGGTGGCTTGGGACAGCCTGATGTTGCAGTACCAATATGAGCTAAGGGTTGGTTCACATGAATATTCCTAGGTGAGTCAACCTAGAAGAACTGTAGGACTCACCCAACAGGTCCTGCAGGAGGAATTCAGGTGACCAGTTCCTCCCCTACACTGTAGGACCCAGCAACTGGGTGAATGTCAGCTCCACAGTAGGATCTAAGATACACACACACACAACCGACAATACACACTAGCTGGGATTGAAAAATATTAACCTAAGACGTGAAAATGACAAAATGAAGCAGCAAAGTGCAATCTCAAATGCTCAGCCCATCTGGAACAAGCACAGGAGACATCAAAATAAAGGTTATTGGAAGTCACACAACTGGAATTTCTGAAAAGATAGCAAATGAAATAAAGAAACAAATCCATGGGCCTATAGAGGAAATCAAATTAGAAATAATCTCTCAGGTAAAGAAAGAAATGACTACCATATTTTCAACTTAGGGAGAGCTTATCAGAAAATAGTGCCATCGTAAGTTGAATAACACTTGTATATGCTATAGATTTAAAAAAATATAGTCGAGCACATGATAAAATATAAGAAGTGGTAAGCAGAGATTCTATCCATTGGCATATGAAGGAATCATGCTTTCATCTCAGGAGTACGAGGGTATGCTCTTTAAAGAATCTAAAAATTATATTGAAATCATAGCTATATGTAGAAATAAAATGTTGACCTGAATCTTTGTGGAAAATGAAATTAAGCAGTGTTACCAAACTTGTAGAACCTTGAGGCTCTCATATCTCATATCAGATATCCTAATTTAGTGATTCACAGCACCAGGCTATTAAACAAAGGCTGAGTATTTAAGAAAAATCAATCTGCTAAATGTAGTAAAGAGCACATACTTTTTTTTTTAAAGTCTATATTTTCAAATGGAAATATCAATAGATTAAAGTATTTCTACTCATTGTGTATGTGAAATTAAAACTCCCATGTGTATTTTGCTCCTAGTATACCCCCTCCAAACCTGTAATTTGTCTTTGGTTTTCCTGTTTATAATTTTATATGAAGACAAGAAAGACTATCACTAATTTTCAAAGTACAAATCTCCTGTGGTTAAGTGAGACGATTTCATTTAGAAACATATTTCTTTCCACATCTTGGCTACCTTTTCCTTCAGTCTTACCTTACAAAGGCCATCTTGGCAGCCTGATGTGACACAAAGATCCATTTGTCCTTGATTAGGTGCATAATGGATAGTGGGAGGATTATGCAATTTTATTTGGAACTGTTTTAGCCAGGACACAAGCTCTGGAATTCTAAAACCACAGATGTATTTTTAAATTGATAGTAATAATACTCATCTTAACAGTAGACAGGAAATAAATGATAGCTTTGTATCAAACACATTATATATTCAATTTAAAATTCTCAAATGCTTTTTGGCAATATCAATATTCCCATTTGAAAGTTAAGTCAGCAGACGTAGAGGTTAGGAAATTCACATAAATTCAATTATCTGGAAATTAACACAAAATCATTCAGTAATCAGTGAACTGAGACTTGAATCTACATCCTTCTTGTTTCAAAACCTGAATTTCTAATTTCTGCCTTTTACACTGGATCATTCACTGTATAATACATTCCTTAGAGAGATTTCTATAGGATGTCTTAATAGGTTTTTTTGTATCATGGAAAGAAATCCATACTTATGGATTATTTATAATTGCTATATGTTGGGGACCACAAATTCACAGTGACTAGTTTTGTGTATTTCCCTATGGGATAAAAGGAAGAACTGGGATTATTAGTACCACCCATCTGAGATTTCCCATTGATTCTTATAAGAGTAAAACATCTATGCCTTGGAGTTGGGGATTTAGCTCAGTGGCATAAGCACCTGCCTTGCAAGCAGGCAGTCGTGAGTTTGATCCCTGGTACCGATAAAAAGGAAAAAGACCAAAGCAAATAAACAAACCAAAAATCTATGCCTTCTTAAATCATCTGAAGATTATACTCAAGGACAAGATAAACATAAAGTCGTCTGTGCCTTCTTAAGTCATCACAGGATTATACTATGATCAAGATACTTCAAACATAAGATTGTCTATGCCCATCAGAGTTGGAGTCTTTGGATGAATGGTAATCCTTTACTATCCCCACCTATCTCTATATAAACCAAATAAATAGTGGCTGTTTGGGGTATGGAGGAAGTTGGATCCAGGGACATTGACTTCCAACCATTGTTGGAATGTGATACATGTTTTTGTTTTTTATTTTTTCTCCTGACATTCTTGAGACTGACCACTGGACTCTTGGCTGAGTTCTTGATATTTACAATCAGGACTCTTGGCTGGGTTCCCAAAATCTATATGCTATATTTCAGTGTACTCTTCAATCACATAACAAAAGTTTTAATAAAATATAATTGGTAAATGTTATAGACTCTGTTATCATTTGAAAATCAGCTAAAGAAAGTTTTAAGGCATGTTTCAGCTTGCCTTTAAGAAAGACATTTGAATCTGTGCCATGTATTAGCATAGTCGCTTGCTTAAAAGAGGCCATAATTATAGTATTAGAAAATTACCCAGAGATTAAAATTACCCTCACTGTATCATTCATTTTTTCCTTTATTTTATTATTTCTTTATCTACTATTTTTTTCCAGTTTCCACATTCATCTCAAGTGATATGTCCAGCAGACATATAATTTTTAAGACATGTCTGGCTTTCCTAATCATTTAAGTTTGAAAGCAGTTACCAAGAGGTGTTAAATATTTCATATTTGTTTTACTCTTAATTAGTGTTTGAAAACTTTTCTGCAACTTGCCTGGCAGTCAAATACATTGTTAAAAAAGAGTTAAGTGACTTTATCAATGGGACATGAAAATGAACCAGCAGGGTTATACTATCTATTGGAAACTCACCCATCAGTTATATTATACTGAAGTGCTTTCTTCATGATCTCTCCTTCAATTTGGATGGTATTTCCATTTTCTAAAGTGATAACAGCACTCTTAAAAGGGAAGGTGTCTGGGTTTGGACATCCAGGAGCCAAGGAAATGAGAGATTTTGGTGCCCTGTGCAGGATATCAGCTATGATAAACAGAAACGAAATACATTTATTGAAGAGGAAGAAACATAGACAGTTCAGTATGTACTACGGTCAACCATAAAATTTGATAATTTCTAGTGACGGAATGTGCCACGGTGTGAATGTGTGCAGTCCCTCTTCATATGTTGGAACCTCACACTCCCTGTGCAGTAGGAGGAATCGAGAGTCTTTGAAGGGTGATTAGGTCACAGAGACTGTATCTGCTTGAATAGGATCACTGATTTTTAAAGAGATCGGAGGGAGTGCTCTTGCTCCTTTCTGCCAACAGAGGACCCCTGTTACCTCCTTTTGCTAAGGTACATAGGACATGGCAAAGTGGCAGGGAAATGAGCTGGACCTGTCAATTACAAGAGCTCAGGAGGCACAGGACCCATGCATGGACCTTCTCACAGGGCCCACCAGATGCGGAAGACGTAAAAGAGTAGACACTACCAGGAGTGCTTTCCTGGGTTCCCACCATAGCCTGTCCTGGGTTTCCCAGATGCAGTGCATACTTTTATTTTTTGCATTTACCTTCCTTTTTCTCTCATTTAGCCCAAGTTTGATCTTCAGAGCTAGTTTTTCTGATACCCTTCTCTTGTTTTTCAAATAAACATTGGCGCCATTTTTGGCTTGCCTGGTCCCATTTTCTTGTTTAAGGCAAGAAGAGCCAGGAGTACTTATGAAGCCATTTCTAAATTTCTAAACTCCCCAGTAACACTGCCATTATATGAGGACACAGTCATCCACATGAATGGCCCTCACCTCAACACCGAGCCAGGCCTCACCCAACCTCAAGGCCTACACCCTGATGCTGGATTTTCCACCATTCAGGATTGTAGCAAATCATTTCCTTTTGCTTGCCAGTTTATGGTGTTTTGGTTTAGCCGCCCACACGGTCCAAGACGGAATGCTAGTCTAAAACAAGCACAGAATAACTTTGTCTGCGCCTCCTCACTGGTGAGAGGACTGAAGCAGGAGGATGTTTCCGGTGAGGACAGAGGGGCCAGGAACAAGCAAAGGGCCACAGTAACAGAAAACCCTCCTGCAGTTACCCGGGCTTGCCTGTGGATTCCTGGCTCAGCCCTGCTCTCTCGTGCATCAGCCCACTTCACCCGCAGGCTTCTGCACACTGCGCCTGCCCGCTCTGTCCTGCCAGAAGGGCCTCTCTCCACAGCCTGCCTTCCAGGATGCGCCCCATGGGCAGGACAGGCAGGCTGCGCCTCTGGGCTGCTACCTCTCCACACTGTTGCAAATGCTTCTTTGCTGGTCTTCCCTTCTAGCTGCCTTTTCTGAGAGCAAAGGTTCTGCCTGCCCAGGCGCTGCTCACGGAGCCTGGTGCCCAGTGAACTCCCGGGGGCAGGAGTGGACGCAACCCAGGGTGACTTGGAAGGCTCCACCCGCGCAGGAGAGGCGCTGGCTCCGCATCTCACCCTTGTTTGGGATGGGAGAAGGTTTTCTGGCTGCGCTGGTCGCAGTAATGAACCGTGAGTAATTCATGTCTCTGAGAGTCCTGCACCAAGCTCTCTTCAATTGCTCAGGGCTAGGAAAACAAAAAACAAAAAACAAAAAACAAAAAACCCCTCAAAATACATAAGGCAGAAACCAGTCAACCTCGTCAAGCACAGCCTCACAAATCTCGCTCGCATCGCCAGCGGTGGGTGTCCCCGCACGGTGCCCAGGTGCGGGCTGCTTGCGGTCCCTGGGTCCAGAGCATCTCCGGCCGGCGGCGGCAGCAAAGTCCACCCGGGGAGGGAGAGGCGCTGCTGGCGGGCCAGCCTGTTTTTCTCGGGTACTGCTGGCTCGACTGCCGCGATCTCTGGCCTAAGGTCAAGGCTAGGAGTTGCAGTCCCCTGCCAGTGCTCAAATCCGATCAAAGCCCGCAGGACTACTGACTTCAAGGTGAGAATGCTTGCAACTCTGCTTTCTGCTGACCAAGACTCCAGCCTTGGAGCACGCCTAGGGCTGTGGCAAGGAATCCAGAATTTTTCTGTGATCCTAGCCCTCGAGTACCATCTGGTGGTCATTTAGGTCCACTGCAGCTGGCTCTGTGAGCGGGGCCCAGCCTGGAGCTGCACCTGGCCCACTGGGTCTCTGGCTGAGGACTGAGCATTTTGCCTTCTCAAATCATTGTTCTGCTAAATTCTCACTTTCCTTAGTAAATCGACCGACACTACCCCAGTGAGTCACCATGGCGCCCGCAAGAGTCCCCAAAACACGTTCTTTAAGATCTGAGCTCATCAGAAGAAAGGTGGAATGATAAATTTTCTTGAAACCACTCAGAGCAGCTCAGTTTTACGGTCTCCTCTCCCTGTGAGTGTCTATGTAAGCATTAGCTCGGAACTGCGTTGCAAAGGATGAAAACAAGAAAATGATGGCCGTGAGAGAGTTCATGAATCCCCTGGTTCTTTCCATACACAACAGAAATGTTTCTTAAGTTCACAGAGTTTGGAGGGGAAAGAAACCTCATAGCTCACTTGATAGATGAGGTCCATCACCCAGACAGTGAGGAGCCTCATTCAAGTGCATTTGTTCTGTAGCAGAAAATGCTCCCTTCCCCATAGCCAGTGTATTTCAGTTTCTTAGCTGCACAGGTGATAGCTCCTGTTCCAGTTCCGACTGCTCCTGTCTCTTAGAAATGGCTGGTCACTGTGATACAAGGCTGGTCACTAGGATGCTTATTGGATAAACCAATCCCCAATTGACAAGCCATTCTATTCGGTACTTTCTGCTTGATTATCTCATGTAAGCCCTTGGCCATCAGAGATCAGGTCCTGATATTTTAAAAATGATCTTGATCTTTGCCCACCAACATAAATAAATCTGCCTCCAAATCCTGGGCGCTTCGTGTTTCTGCTGGTGGTTGCAGTTCAGTTAGGATGGCTAATTGACTCCGGTGGAAATTAAAATTCAGTTAAATTCAAGGTATACTTTTATACACTTGATCTCCGGAGCAAATATTGTCAACTACACGTGAGTGTTTTGGGTGCTAGAGGATCCTGCAGGTATAAGTGGGAGGCTTTGGAGATTACTTGGCTTCAAAACTAACTAGAAGTCACCCTGTTGTACTCTGACAGCTTTGTACTAGATAAGCCCCTTCCAGAGCACAGCCTATCACCACAAGTGTCCTAAGTCTTCACAAAACTAAAAATAAAGATATTTAAGATCGTTCAGCCATAAGGTGCTGGCTGTCAATCTTTCAACATCTTAATGGATTTCCTATCTGGACTGCCCTGGAATTAGATAGGACAGATGGTTTGGGGTGCTGTTGCTAGTAGTAAATTGGGTGATGATTCAGGCCAACAGGGAGGAAGAGAAGGAACCCATCAGGTACTTACTGGGATTCTGGGACACTGAAGTTTGGGACTAGAAAGGGAAATGCATGACATAGCCAGAGGTAGATGACATTGTAGTGGGAAAGGGTTAGTGAGAGTTAAATGGGAAACAGCTCACCAGTCAATTTGAAGCTGCTAAATTGAAGATAAAATCGATTTCCAGAGAGGCTGACTTTGGATTTGTCAGAAGTAGCAGGAGCGTTCTCTTGAAGGAGTGAGATGCATGAATAAGCCTCACAGCTCAGTGCTGCCTCCTTTTAAAGACTGCCTGGGTAGGGACCGCTGTAGGACAGAATTAGAGGGGCAGGTCTTTTCTCCAAACATGCACTGAATCCTTACTCTGTTCTAGAAGCTGTAATGAATGAAAAGCTTAAGTGAGACAAGTGTCTGCTCTGGAAGAGCAAGGGGTCACCAGTTTCATACAATGCAGTGCAGTGTCACAGAGGTAGATGTAAGCCACTAAGGCCAGCAGAGGGAGGTATTAGTTATTTTTAATGAACGAAGTACTCAGTCATATTAGAAGCAAGTTTCTTTTCCTCTTATCTTTATCTTAGAATTTTGTTCATGATCACAGTCTAAAATGGAATAGGTTTTCCCACTCACAGTATAATCATCATATTCTGCTACTTTTTCCTAAAACTTAAAGACGACCCATGGGGAGAGTTATCCTTTATTTGACAAATTTATCACTGAGCCTTTCTCATAATCTGAGAGACTCAAGGTTTCAAACATAGTTTGTTAAGAGAAATTTTGCTCAATTTCTTAATTTGCATACTTCGTGGCTAGACTTTTGAGATAATTTTGGATGCTGAATCTAGATGGAAAGACATGTTTTTACTGGAAGAATGGAGGAAGTATATTGCATATTGTTATGTGTCAGACTCTTCCCATATTTAGCTGCGGACAGTCTGCTTAGGACAGCTGTGATAAAATACAGTGGTCTCCTGTATGATTGTCCTCATCTTACCACAGTTCTGGAAGCCACCAGTCCAAAATGAAGGTATTAGCAGCCTTGCTTTTTTCTGAAACTTGAAGAAAGCTATCTTTGGTGTATTCAGCAAGTGTTTTCCCTAGATACCTGCATCCCTGGTATCTCTTCCTTTACTTTTAAGGACAACGGTTATATCAGACTAAGCTCCTACACTTTCAACCTCAGTTAACCTGGATTACCTCTTTAAAGTTCTTACTTCCAAATACTGTCATGTTGAGGATTAGGGCTTAATAAAGTTTCTGACACCAAGTTGAAGTCCTGTTTGTCAGGCTAAGATAAAATTAGGGCCAGAAGGTTATGAAGGAAAATTCATACTTGTCAAAAATAAACACTGTCTCAGAGACTGTCTAAAATCCCGCCAGAAGTTTGTTTTACACAATGCTTATATACATAAAATTTTGTAACAATGTCTATATTTAACATGCTTAAGATCACACCTATTCAGGTAAGGCGTTCAGGAGAGAACACAGTTGTCCAGCAATGCATTTCCACCCGTGTCACCAGTTCTTGCCTTGAGTCTGCAAGACAATTCTCACAGCATCCAAGAATTTATGTGAATTTCTCTTTTTGTAAATAAAATCTTCCTTTACAATGCTTTCTTGGTGTGCACCTGTGGGTCACTGTTGTGTGCATCCTGGACTATGCTTACTCTCAAATAAAATTTTCATTCTTGGGGATATTTTTTCTCTGTTATCTATTCTCAGCATCTATTATAGTTTGTATCAAAAGTCCCACCCCCATCAAAGCCTAATGCAGTCATAGGATCAGTCCACTGATTAGATTGGCACAGCCTTAATCTCAGTAGATTGGATATGATATAAGGGACAGAAAGAGGCTCTTCTTATGCTCTCTTGGTGATTCTGTTGTCTTCTGCTAACATGAATGGTTACCTCTTTGCCACGTGCTACTCTGCCTTGGAGCCAGCCAATTATGAAACTTCTACAAACTGTGGGCTAAATAAACCTATTATCCTTTAACTAAGAGTTGGGTATTTTGTCCCACCAAAGAGAAAAGTAACTAAGACAGCATTTGTATATATTTTAGTAAATGAAGCATAGTTAAGTATGTAAAAGAAGCTAACATATCAAATATTTATCTCATCACTTTCCTGGGGCAGTAATACAGGAACTGTTTAGCTTGTCCAAGACATTTTAAGAAACTGCTGTCAAGATACTGGTAGGTACTGTAACCAGCTAAAAGCTTGTCTAGGACAGGAAGAACTGCTTCCAAAGTGACTCATTCACATTATGCATTAGTTTCCTACAGCTGATGTGACTAGATACACAAAACCAAGTGCCTTAGCATAACAGATGTTTCATATTTCAAGGAACTAGAAGCAGAAGATAAAGGTAAAAATAGGTTTGGTTCTTTTCAAAACTGTGAAAAAGCATGTACTTCATGCTCTTTCCTATGTTTCAGTAGTTTGGTTGCATTCCAGTGTTTGTTGGCTTGTAGTTGATCTGTGATTTCCACTCTAATCTTTGCATGTTGTTCTTTTTATGTATATATTTTGTGTCCAATTTCCCTTCCTTATATGAACATCAATCTACTGGATTAGTGCTCACTTTGATTATTTTACATGATTATTACTGCACAATGTAGCCTTGAAATAAGGTCACGTTCTGTGGTCATAGGAATTAGGTCTCCAACTTATCTTTCCAAGACAGAATTTTACCTGTAGTTACTGTTGATAGAGGATCTCTTGCTGGTTTTTGGTAGGAGGCGTCAGTTCTTTTCATGTGATTCTATTCATAGATTTGCTTGAGTGCCTCCATGATACGGATTTATTTTCTTCACAGTGAGTGGCCTAAGAGAAAGAGGAGAAACTCTCAATATCTTTTATCACCTACTGCCTCATATTACCACTTTTTCCATATTGTATTCATTAGAAATGTGTTGCCAAGTCTTGTCTACACTCGAAGAAATCAGGCTCTAATTTTTGAATAAGGGAAAGCTGTGTAATTTGGGAAGTCATTTTAAAATCTAACACTGAAGAGAATCAGAGTTAGGTCAAAAAAGGCAGAAATATTGTTCAGGGTAGTGAATGAGATTAAGGTTGTTGTAAAGTGATAGCAATGGTACTTGGTATTAATGCTAGAGACAAGCAGTAAACGAGAAAGGAGGAACTGAGTAGTGGTACACATGAAGACAGTTATCAGTGACGCTGAACAGTATGAAAATTACTGTACATAGAGAAGTTGGGAGGGAAAATTATTATAGATCAAGGCTATCTTTCTAATTTTTAATATCATAGTTTTCAATTTTATGCTTTACATTTGATCCTTTATGAAGTTTTCATTTATCTCTTGAGCTTTATTTACATCTTTTCATTCACTGTGAGTGTGTTTTAGGGGCTAATTATAGTAGTTGGCATAACATAGTCATAGTAGTTTCTTTCAAGTCTTTTCCTACTTATTCAAACTTCTGGATCACCTGACCTCATTTTCTTTTTCTCCTCTCCTCTCATTTCCTTTCCTTCTTTCTTTTTTCTTCTCCTTCACACTGAGTCTTATTTTACCTGGTTCTTTGCATGCTGAGTAATTTCAAACTTATCATGACACTGCAGTTATTATGATGCAGAGACAGTGATTCTTTTGTATTTTTCCAAAAAGTGCTGAAGATTTTGTTTTAACTCGATTGCAATCAAAATGCAATTTCTGTCTCTTTCATGTAAGCTCAAGACTCAGGCAGTTTTATCTTTAGCTGGGCTGCTTGGAGTCTTCTGCATGCTTGGGTTAAAGATCAGCCAGAGAGTTAGGCAGCATTTAACCATGGAGTTTGTGATGTCTTCTCTTACCTTTTCTCTTTTTTGAAACATCTTTTTTTCATTTCTCCTCCTGGAATATTCACCTACATTTCCCTGTCAGGTTGCCATGCTTTTTTTTTTTTTTTTTTTATCAGCTAAAGATGACCTGTTTTCTCTCACTAAAGTGTTGATTTTGGTTTATTCTCATGCTGGAAACTGTGAAAACGAGAATCTCTTCATCAAGCCTCCTAAATTCCTTACCTAATTTGTGGGCTTTTGTCCCATTTCCAGAGCCTTCAGTTTTTCCTCCTTTTATTTCCTACTCTCGTTTTCTTCCTTCTGCTTTCTATATTTATTCTTGTACTTTGTGTACTAACATGTGTTATCTGCATGTGGCCTGGAGCCAGTGGGAGCACACTTAGTAGTATGTGAAGTAGAAACTTATGAGTGTGGCCTTTTAAAAAGACAAGAGGAATGTAGTATAGTATACTACAAGAGAATGTAGTATAGAATAATTATGGTTTTGGAACAGGCTTCCTGGTTTCAAATCTTAGCTTTACCATTTATGTGCTATGTGTACTTGGGCAAATTAATCTTTTTATATCTAATCACTTGTACAAGACAAAAATGTTACCTGTATTTAAGGTTATTATAAGTACCAAATGCATAAAAATGTACCTTATATTGTTAGATACAATAAGCGCTTCGTAAGTGTTCGATGTTATCATTATTATGAGCAATATTAACAATAAAGAAAGGATGATTCAGAATTTTGGGAGAAATCTTACTAAGAAGAATTTATCTCAAGCTTAATGGCTATAAATCAACTTGGTTGCAAATAATCACTGAATGATTAACAAATGCAAACTGTGGAGTGAATTTATGAAGACAAGCAAACATCATTATAGCATTCTTGAGCAAGTTTATGCTGGATGCATTCAGAGTATGAGAAGAAGGAGAAAAGTGTAAAGAACAAGTACATGTTACAAATGTATAACAGAGACACTGGGATGATTAATTGAATGGGCACATTTGTTTCTCACTGAACACATGTATCTATTTATAACCTGAGACAGAACTAAGTTTTAGAGTCAACTTGGCTAGGGAAAATTCCATGGATAAGACCTAGTAAAGAGAAGTGTACAGCAGTTATCACAGAAACTCTGACAAGTAAAAGAAATTTATGACATCTTGATTACTTATTTATTTGTTTTGCAGAAAAAGTATTCAGGTGACAATTGAAAGAAGACTAGAAATCAGCAACAAGGTATTATTTCTTTTGGTAAGTTAAATCCAGCAAGGTAAGAACTTATTTGGCAATATTTATTTTCTTTATTTTTCTGTTTTCTGTTTTATAGGCACTGATAAAGGTTGAACAGAAAAGCATACAGTGCCTTGATAATATATAATGCTATAAGGATGTAGTCCTGAGGGTTCAAGGGATCTAGTCTCCAGATGATGTGCTGGTCAAATTTCCTGCTGTGGGGGCAAAATATTTGAGGCCTATAGACAAAAGAAGGAGAGATATATTTTAGCTTAGTTTAAGAGGTTCCAATCTGTGG